AGATCTTTGCTAAAAAATTTCCTGATATTAATTTGCTAGGATTAATTTTAAGTTTCACAATATTTGCAAAACTATTTATTAATTCTGTAATCTTTTGCATCTTTTTCTTTAAGTTTGTGAACCATATTGTGTCATTTATATATATAATTAAAAATAGGCTTATTGTTTGTCTATTTTACTGTTCAAAAATGTGATAGATATTTCTGTCTTCATTTTGTAGCCAAGTTTTAGATTTTTTATTTTTGTAATAAGTGAATAGTATATATACCAAAGGAAATTGGATATGGTATTGTCTTAATCTATTCCTTGTGTAGTGAAGAAAGATTCAGTAAGTTCATGTTGTGTAATTATCTGACTAGTATGTCTTGTAATATATTTTATAATAATTTCTTGTATAGGTTGTGAAACTTTTATATAATTTATTATCATATTAAATGTTTCTTGTTGCATAGAGTTATACACTTTACTAATATTTTAGTTAAACATCTATAGTTCTTTTTATGTTTCTCTTGTATCTTTTATGATATAATTGATAATTATTATTGATTTATGTGTTTTTTCTCCAAGGAGTTTTGTTCAGTTGAGAGAAAAAAGAATCTGATATATTGTTAAGACTTATATTAGTCTCTTGTTAATAATCTTTGTAAATACTTTTTTAATTGTTCTTAACAATACTATGGATCTAATACAATTTAGATTGTATTATCAATTTGAGTTTTTTGATATTAAATAAATAAGGTTATGTTGCTATTTGTTGGAAATTTCTTATGTTTGGATAATATGGTTAAAGAATATTGTTAGTTTGCCTGTTAGGCCAATATGTTTAAGAATTGCATAATTTATTTGAAACTTTTCTAGTACTAACCCAGCCTTAGATTTTTTAATTGTCTCTTTTATTTCTACTAAAAGGATTTCTTGGATATATTTATTATACCAATTGTTTATAATTTTTGTTTTGGGAAGGAACTCATATTTCTTTTTTTTTTTTTTTTTTTTTTTGCAAAAGGCATTAAATGCGAGACATTTATTAAACTTTCATATTTCTATTTGTTTAGATTTGTTATTAATAATAATGTAATATTAAGAGGCTGTTTGAAATATTTTGTTATCTCTTGCTTAATCTTTGTGGGGTCTGTAATTATTATAGGAGGATTTTCTTATATAATTATTTTATTAAAGAAGATATTATTTTCTTTTTGAAGGATTTATTAGATCATTTGCTTTTTATTTGTTAAGAGATATAAGAATCTTTTTTTTATATTTTTTTGTATTTTTTCTTAAGTTATTTGATTTGTTAATGTTATAAGGCATTTGTATATTGTTTTCTAGAAAAGTTTGACTTTCTCTAGTCAGTCCTTTACCTTTTGTGTTTAGTGACTTGTCTCATACCATAGTGGTTTCTAAATAGTAATAGTTGTATAGTTAATTTTTTGGATATATTTGTATATGCTTGCAATTATTTCTGAAGATTTGATATTATATTTGAAATATTGTTTTCCTTTGCTATAGAGCTTTCTAATTTTTTTAGTTTCTTTTTCTAGAGGGTTAAACTTCTTAAAGTTTATAATATTCTTTTGTTTCTTTTAATTTTACCCTAGAGAGGTTTCTGGATTTGGCTGTGTTGATAGCTGCCTATATCATATTTCAAAGTTTATTAAGAAAGATACTGTTAGTATTCATGTTTTTGTTTTATTATTGGAGGATATAATAAAATTCTTTTTGGATGTTTTTCTATTGCTTTGTTATTGTCTCTATTGTAGTATATCTGATTTCCTTATATTTATTTGTAGTTGTTTTGAGGATTATAAAGAAATTTGAAATCAAGATTATTGATTAGATGATTGCATAATTAATATTACTCTGGGTTGATTTTGGTTACTATAAGATATTAGTCAATATGATTAAATATTCAAATATAGTTGAGTTTTAATATTGCATTTCTAAAATTTTTCTATGTAAATTTGAAATTGAATAGATTTAGAGTTCTGTAACAGTCAATATAGTCCAAGTTTTGTAAAACTCAAAGTGTTGTTAAGGTGGATAATTAAAAATTATATTTCTTGTTTATTATCAATTGTTAATTCATTTGTGGATTTGCTATCAATTTAAAATTACTTAAATAATTGTTTTTTAGTTTTTATCATATTTTCTTAAGATTTAATCTTCTGTCTATTTGTTTATATTCTTTTTTTCTTGGCTATCTCTTGCAAGTATATACAATATATTTCTATAATACTGATATGTTTTTTCTCTTTAAATTACAGATTTGTACTTATTCTTCTATCTAGATATTTGATGATTTTTCCCATGTGTTTGTTGATTTTTTTTTTTATTAATAATATGATTCCTGTTTCTTTATTGTTGTTATTTCAAAATATTTTGTATACTGAATGCTTCCAGTATTTGTGATTTTTACTTTGTACCTGTATTTTTATTAGGAAAACTATATTTATATTTCTAAGTATATAGTATATAAATATTGTTTGTTATTTAATGTAGTTATTGAAATCTTTAATATTATATGTTAAGAGTTTCCATAATATAGATGTTTGGTAATAAGAAAGAGAATTATTAATTGTTATATTGTTTCTTGATTATTAGATTGGAGAGTTATATTTGTTATAATATTGATAAGTTAGTTGAATATACCTACTATATCTTGAAAGGTGTTATCAATATTTGTCATATGTATATTGAGATTGAATTGTTATTCTTTAATATCTGTAATATTTATGGTTAGACTTATTACTTGTCTTTTTTATTAATAGTTAAAGTTTCTAGATTTTGGGATTTATGACTTTGGAGATTTTGGTCTAAGTATTTTTTACTTGTATTAATGGCTACTTTTATTTGTTTTTTATTATCTACAATGTAAAAATATGTAAAGTTCTTCAGATGGCCTACTCTATTGTTGAAATTATTGATTGTTTCTTTTATGGTTTAGAAAATTGGAATTGAACAGAATTGCAGGAAATTGCATAAGGTTTGGAACACTATTAAAAATGATAATGGAATATACCTCACCTATTAAATTTAATATAAACTTGAGAATTGAATATAGAATCAAAGAAAATCATTAGAATCCTTAATTTCTTTGATCTGGTTTAATTCTGCTTTTATGGTTTGAATAGTTTTGAGAACTTCAGTTAGGAATGATTGGAGATTGATTATGGCTGCTAAGTTTTTTTTAATGTTAAAGTGAAGTATTACTCATAATTTTTATTAATAAAGTAAAAGTTTAACTTGTTATATAATTAATATTAAAATATAAGTTATATTACTATAGATATTAACCTACCACCTATTAAACAAATATATCATTTGAGTTACTATAGGCAAGTTAGCATTTAACTCATTGTACTTGCATATGAGAGATGTTGTTTCTTTCACGATATATACCTTGATATATACAAACCAAATAAAGAAATGATGTTTACCTACAAAAAAAAAAAAAAAAAAAACAAATATATCATTTGAAAAAATTCTTGAATAGAAAAAACCTAAGGAACTATTTGTTATAAAAAATAAAAAATAAAAAAAACATTTGAAGCAAGGTCACCAGTATTATAAAATATTTGAGTAGAAAAAAAGAAAAAGAAAAATATTAAAGCTTTTGTTAAATATAATTCCTGAATACAATTAGTTGTTTCAGTTGGGTGTCGGCACTACACAAGCCACATGTAATTTGATAGATTTGATTATGTGAGATTTTGTGATGTTGTTGTTATATAATATTGTTGTGTTGTAATTTAAATAATAAGATAACTGGAACATGTTTCAAATGTCTATTATATTGTTCTGATAAGTTGTTATGTATTGTAATTACTGGAACCTGCACAGGGTACTGATTACATGCTCTCCCAATCTAGTAAGTTGTTATGTTATTTTGGCATATAGAGATAGCACAAAATATGATTGGTATTTTGTGTGTTGTAAATTATTTGATGGGGTAAACTAATTGTAGTTTTGTATTGAAATTTATAAACAAGAACTGATAACTAGCCAAAAGATTATATGAAATCTTGCACTAGTTGCCATCAGCAGAAAACAAAAAAACTCTAAAAAATAAAATGCTGCTTCTTGAGAATGTGATTGGTTTTGAGTTAGAAATGAGAGATGTATTTGTTTTGTAGCAGTTGTATATAAAGATAGTCTTCATATAGAAAATTTTCTTTTTATTTGTCTCTGTTCCAAGTGCTGTTACCAGTCACTAGACCTTTTAGCATGGGTCATTGCTGAAACCCCAGGGACCAATCTTATCCTTGAAAACTCTATTGTTTTAAATCAGTCCTCTGGTCTATATTCCCTTCCTAAAAGAAATATTTCATTAGACAAAGTTCCTTTAAAGAAAGAAGCTTCCTAAAAAAACAATTTTCTATGGATGGAGATATTGTGGAAAAGAGTTTTTGAGAATAGAAAAGTTAAATAATTGTTATATACAAAAATATATATATAATTATATCTTACTTGATTTTTAAAGTTCTTAAATTTTAATAGTTTGTGTTAATCAAAAATTGCAATTTTAAAACATTTATTAGAAAGCATATAATATCATTAAATCTTTACTAATTTCATAACTATATAAATCAAAGTTGTGATGTGAAAAGTTAATTATTAATTATTAATACATATTATGTTACAAAAAAAACAAAATAATTTTAAAGAACTAAATATTTTTGTTAAAAAAATATGAAGCAAAATATTTCTTAAATACTGTTATCAACTAATCCTTGGTATATTTAATTGAATTAATGTATGTATTGAAGTTAAAAAGAAAATCTACAAAATATTAATATACAGTATAATTAGTTTAAAAATACGTAAAAAAAAAAATAAATTTCACTTTAATAACAAAAATTAAGTTGTAAAATTTTTTTCATAACGTTTGCATCAATAAACAAATCATGTAAATATTTATCAAAGATACGATAAAAATTTTGTAGAATTTAATTACTTGATACTGTGCAATTAAACTATTCACAATATCATATGAAGTAGCCCTAATAGATGTCGAATGCTTCTGTGATTGCAAATTGAACAAAGAAGAAGTCCAATGGAATAGGATCAGGAAGATTTTGGGGCATTTGAACAGTAGGCTTCAAGTCATGATAAAGACATCTTAATGGTACGTTAATGATGCGTTGACTTTGCACAATATTTAATTGAGCACCTGTACCATCTTGTGTACCGAATTCAAACTGATAATTATTATACATACATTAGAGATTTTTAGTATATTAACAGAAAAGCGAATCACTATAATCTAATATTACCTCGGTTACAAGAGGAGGTGTATTTCTCGTTCCTCTACCTGCTGAGACATAGTAATGCCAAGCCCACAATGAATTAAAACCTTAGAATGGTATGATGCTAGTCATGCTACACTGTATAAATATAACTTACTCTCTGGGAAACCGGATCAATTTTTACAATAATACAATCATGGGCGCGACCAGGACTTAACCAGTAGCGCAACGCTTCTTCGACGTGATCTAGTGTTTCAGTGTAGGCCACTTCTACGACCAAATTTGGCCAAGGTTCTTCCTAAATAAAAAAGGTATAAAAAATTACTAGCATCAAAAAGCTAAAAACCAACAAAAGTATGGAAATTACATTTCTGCACTCCCATTTGGCGCAGTTACAGCTGGCTTTTTTGGACGAAACGATGCGTCGGCTTCTTTTCCACGGTTTCCATCACGTGTTCCTTTAATAAAGAAAAATTAATACGATGCACACAAACAGAACAATATGTTATAACATTAATACTATACTTACCAGTAGCACCAAAACTATAAATCTGAGAAGGTGTCCCTTTAACTGATCTACAAGCACCCATTATTTCTTCAGTAATTGCACCAATACCAACTTCGTGTGGCTTAGAAGGAAACTCGTAGATTAAGACTTCTCCGTTTGACCACTCCCAACATCCGTGAACGTTGAACTCTTCTGTACGTTTTTCATATTCTTCAATGTCGATCCCCTTAGCAAGCACATAAGGTAATCTTATATACAGTATATGAATAACAATTTATATCAGCCACCAGCTAAATAAATATCAATGTTAAACAAGTAGAAAATGAGACTTACGTTATTTCTTCCCACTTTATCTTTTCGTTAAGTTCTCCCTTGTTCCACCAAAGGTTTCGATAAAAGATATAATCTGGCATTCGTTCATCACTACTAAGAATATCCAGAAAATTAGCAGACATAAGGAGTAACGGTTGCATATATCTACTTATGCGGTAGTAACAGAGCTTGTTCTTGTTGAACTTATTCTGCAAAGACTGGCATTTTTGAATCGGTATATAGTGACATTTTTGTTGTTTTTGGAAACGTTAAATATGCCACTTCACTGCGTCTCATTAATTCGGCGTCATCACGTGATAACTTCATGTGACGCATTGCACAAATCAAATAATATGCGTGATTTACTTCCGGCACAATAGTTATCTACGAAAGGGTAAGTTCGGAGATAGAATTGCGCCAAAAGAAAAAAAGAAAAAACGAACCAGCTAATATATAATAAGGGTATCTCTATGGCTAGGTCATATGAAAAAATACAAAGCGAGAAAAAGAACATTGTCACGCCGATCACTTTTTGCCAAGAAAAATACATATCGAATTGTATCCCATCAGGTAGTTCCACGTCAGGCACGCGTTAAATATAAAAAAAGAAATATAGACCATTATTAAACAAGGCTAACACTGCGATAAAGTCTTACCTATATGCCTTCTTCTACGATCAGTGGATACTTTCGGTTTGTCGAGTTTGATTATCGGGGTTTAATCCACTTGCATTATTCAAGTCTTGGTGAGGAACCGTAGTAACAACCGATTCATTCACATCCCTCTCAATCCCATTTTCAAGATCTTTGTAAACGGAAGAGAAGTCCCGAAAATAATGGAAGAAGGTACTATAAACGAAATAAACGACGCTATACAAATATACATACAACTCCGGAGAAGTTTGTGGATACGTCGTGAAGGATGCCATGAATATTGGAGAACAAAAAGACGTGTTTTTTATGTAAGGTTTGCAGTAAGCCAACTACTTATGCACCTGGAACATCTAAAAACATGCCAAAGGTTATATTATGTTATATAGTTTTATGATCGAAATCCAAACAGGTAACTAGATGCTCTGCTACGCTTCGCAACTGCGTCACATTTACCTAAAGGTTCATGTTCATTTGTATCAGATATCTATTTGTTTATCAAATAATATGTGTCAGTTGGAAGCTGGTTTATACCAAAGACACTGGCATCGCTATAATAGAAAGTTTCATATTTGTGTACCTAATTTTTGCTATATAATTAATTAATGCATCGTAATGCTCTGCATTCATCCTCAGATATCATTATTCAATTGTAGTCAGATTAATAAACATAATCATATTTGAGAACGATCAGAAAAAAAAACATCGAGCGTGTACTTAAATTTTATATATCTTTTTTATTAATAAATAAATCTCACGGAATATTCTATCTATAATATTGAAACAAAAAATCCACCTTTGAGTACCTAAAAATTTATTTATCTTTTAACTATCTTTTTTACCTTTAGAAAGTTAATTAACTATAGTAAATAGAATAACAATGCACCGCTACGCTTCGCACCTGTTTCGCATTCACCTAAAGGTTCGTGTTCACAGTGTAAGATTCTTGTGAATAAAGTTAAAAAAAAGAAAAATGTTTTTTTTTACAAGATTTTAGTTATTTATTTCAACAATATAAAAATTCTTTTTGAAAAACAATAATTATAATTTATGTTGTATGCAATTGTGAAATATATTTTTTTTATTTTCATATTTTAAAAATGCAGTATGTCATAAACTATTTGATTTATAAGGTTATAGATTAATTAATAAATTTTTTGTTAAATAAACAGATATAAAAAAATAAGATGATAATTTAAAACATATAGTAATTAGATTATTATTATTATTATAATACAAAAATATTAAAAGTAACCATCATTTAGATCTAATTGAATATTTGTAAAATATGATAATAAGAAACCTTTAAAAGATTTTGAAATGTATTGTAATTGTATAGCATTGACTAAAACACTTTCATGTATAGTATTCTTTATCATTTCTGGTAAAAGTGACAATTGTGTAGATACTGTATTCTTTATAAGAATTGCAAAAGACTTGGTCAGCGTTATATGATAATTCGAATTGTTTTTTCAAATCAAATGAGAAATCAAACCAATAATAATAAACCATGCTTCGATTAGATTTCAATTGTTTTTTTGATTGGTAAATCATGATATTCGATTTATACGCACATGATCTTGTAATCAAAACATATTTAGCCCGCCACTTTTTTAATTATTGACAAATAAATAAATATTGTTACATTGATCAATATGATTTACCTATCATACTAATGAATATGTTAAAATAGTAAGTGGTATAGCGGATATTTCTTTGTACCGCGTTATAGATTAATGAAACATTGGATTTCTAACGAGAAATTCTTGAAAAGAATTGAACTTGGCAAAAACATACGTGTGTATGCATGCTCGCATACCTGTGTAGAGAGTCAAGAAAAACAAATTTTTAATCTAGAAATTATATCTATTCATTCTATATATTACTGGTTTTGGAATGATAACAATTTAAATGGATGTTTTTATTGATGAGCATGCGTATTTTAAATTTTAAATGATTGTTTAAATTTCTCCGAATATAGAAATCGCGGTACGGTGTCATATAAAATTCCCGTTAGTGGATACCTGTTTTTTTTTTTAGAATTAAAAATTTAATTACTGTATCACGTATTCATTTATAGATTTGGATAGTCGATTCACGAAAAAAAATTACAGTATAATATGAGAATTGGTCTGAAACCCATTACAAACATAATAAAAATTTTTGGTACATTATGTTCCCGCATTAAGCTCGGTCGTGACAAATCTCAGCTTTAGGTAAAGTTAAAAGAATTTGGGATGGTAAGATGTATATCTACTATATATTCAGTATATAGATTGCGTGCGTACACATTTTACTGTTGATGCGCGTATCTCGTACGCATCACCAATTTACCAAAAAGTCTCTTGATAGTATACTGTATATATGAAAGTGTGGCTTATAAGTACCAGTTCCCAGGATTAGCGGTTATTCACTAATTCATAAAGTTCGACGTTACGCAATGCAAAAGTCTGAATGCGTAATATTTATTAAAATTTTATGAAATCAATAAAAGGAGGGTGAATTTTCTTTCAGACGCTGCAAAAAAAAATAAAAAAATTAAATTCTAATGCCAAACAAAGGTATGTTATATACAACCGGCAGCTATCGCAATACGTAACGATGAACACACCAATATTCAGTCGTGCACAGAAACAAAGTTCTGAAGGTAAATATGATTGTCGCTTACCTTCACAACGTTTATTAAAGATACTAGCATTCGTAGTGTATTCGTTTTGTGGATATAATAAATTCTTGTAATCATAAGAACATTAGCTTCGATTTAAACATAATTCTTTTCTTTCACCGTGTCCTTTTACCTTCATAGGATCCTTCTCAAAGACCAAATATCAGAACAAATATCAATCCAAATATCCTTATGTAGGATGCCCTCAAGATATACGAGACTATACCTCTCAATTTTTCTTTCAAGTCTTATCCCAATTACCTGCCTCGGATCCCCTACCAACATCTCTCGCCTCAATTCCTCAGGCAAATACATGCATCCGTTGTAAATCCAGATATGAGAACCAATATAATCATTGGTGCGATGCATGTGAAATTCCAATAATTCAACAAAATTTTCAAGATTGGAGTTCTGAAGATGAACATTTGGATAGATTCATCCGCGAAACTCAGTTAAACTGTTTTAAACCTCTTCATAATTCTATTGGAGAGCTAGGAGGACTGCAACCGCCGCTAAGACTAATTCCATATACTGAATACTCAGATGTGTCTTTGATAGGTGAAGGAGGATTCAGCAGAGTTTACCGTGCAACTTGGAACCAAAATATTTTGTATGGCACACTGAAATGGTGGGTCGGTGAGATGGAGAAACAGAATTTCGACAAGATTTATAAAATTATTTACGAGGAGGCTTCGGATAGTGTCAAACAGCACGGGGTTGGCATGGGAAAGAATTTTGGTGAGAGTGGCAGTAAGAAGGGATTTATGAATAAGGTTTCGACTAGGCTCGGGCACATGAGGGGGAATTCGAAATCTGGAGATTTGGCAATTTGGTGTGACAGAGTCGTCGTCAGAGTTATGGATGAGGTATAGTATTTTGGTCAAAGTTTTGGAAAAATTTGCAGGTTCCCATCATTCAATATGTAGTACATTCAATTTAGGTTGCACAAAAGCGTTTGACGGTGCCCGATAAGCAGTACACCGGAACCATTCCTCAGCATGTCGCACTCAAAAAATTGATTAATTCGCAAAGTATTTCCTGTTCGGAATTGGTTCGTGAGGTTTGTATCAATTCGGATTTGTCAATTTTTGCGAAATTGCTCACCGACCGAACTATTCAATCTCCACGAAACAAAACAGTTACAAACATATTATCGCTGCATGAATTTGGGAAGGATTCCTCAACTCTACGGAATATCTCGTGAACCCGAAACGAAAGATATTGTAATAGTAACACAATATGCTCCCGGCGGCAATTTACGCCATCACATCAAAGAAAATTATGAAAACATGAATTGGCGGCGCAAAGTTGCCATAATATTTGACGTAGCAAAAAGCTTGAAGACAATTCATAGTTACGGCTTCGTTCACCGCAATTTACATAGTGGGAATGTGTTGATTGATGTTGATCCTCATGATCCTACCACAACACCACAGGAACGACAGGAACGATGCAGTAAAATGTCATCAACGTTCAGACACGAAACACTAATATCGGACCTAGGTATCTCAACTCCAGCAATGGAATTTTCGAACCCATATCAAAAGAAACGATACGGAATTCTTCCCTACATGGCGCCCGAGGTATTGCAAGGCGGTGAGTATTCACGGCCATCAGATGTCTACGGTTTTGCCATTGTAATGTGGGAGTTGTCATCCGGTGAATTGCCATATCAGTCAATCCCTCATGACAAGAAATTGGCTGAAGAGATTTGCGATGGGAAGAGACCGGAGATCACACGGGATACTCCAAAATTTTATGCAAATTTGATGGAGAGGTGTTGGGATTCGTCAGCAGCAAAAAGACCGGGCATCGATGAGATCGTAAAGACGATCGGAAATTGGAGAAAACCTCTTGTCACGGATTCAGGATTATTCGATAAGGCAGAAGAGATTAGGAGGCTAATATTGGAAGAAAACGTAGTTGGAAGGAAAAATGTGCACGAGGGGGCGGTATATCTTAGTAAACCATTGAGCTTTGGGAAAATTTAGGTTCTTCTATTTCATGTAATTTATTTCTGTAATCATAATGTATTTTTAAAGAAATATAATGAATTTGGGCTATGAAAAATTGCTTGCCCCTAATTCACCCAATTACTTATTATTATACAATAATGTAATGACTTATTTCGTCATTTGGACATACTGTAGATCTAATATCTCGATTTTAAATGGTGATACAAACTTTTTTATCGATCATCAAAAATTGCATAATCACTATCTTTTTTAAAAATTCAGTGAAGTAAAAAGGTTAAATATGATCTTGCATAGGTTCGCAAACCCTCAAACCTCCATGAAATGGTCACCTGCTGCTACTTTCACGATAAATCGAGTTCGACAGTATCGAAAACGAGCATCGAATTCTTCCGGACGGTCGTATCCAGAAAACGGTTTTCGTAACCAGCTTCAGAAAAATCTCCGTCCTGAGCAGTATAGTGGTCAAGAAGGAACGATAATCGATAAAGGAAAAGGAAGGCTTACGGAAATTCGGAACAATCCTATTACCAATGGAGTAGCAACTTTTGTTCGTATGTTCTTCGTTCACATCGAGACTCTCGACCAAACAATGGCACTTTTGTTAAATAAGAATCCACGAAATTTAATTTAGATCATCGCCAGCATGGTGGTCATCGAGAAAATGCGGTGATCGATAAAGGATCTTGGAAAGTGATCAATGCCAATGAACAACGAAATGAAGAAAAGAGTAAAGTATATTATAATATTGACGAGGAATCGTTCGAGTCAATATTGCTTGATCCCGAAGGTCCGTATAGTTATAATTTCCCTAGACAAAAACGGGCACCACCACCGGAGACTTGGGATTTCAGACACTTACCGGAATTCGAGCAAAAAGTCATCATGAACCCATACGGTGAGAATCTGCAAGGGGGGATTGTCATTAAAGAATTTGCTCGATATTAAATATGTTCTCTGCAATAGCTGCGATAATTGGATCTCATATAAGAAAGTGCTTTTACCACGAACGTTGGTTTCCAAGTGGTGAGCAAACGGAATTTCTTGACATACTCATGAATTCAACAAAATAACACAAACTCTGGTTTCACATTGTCTTAAGAATGGATTCCTGTACTTACTATTTAAAAAGATTTCCTGGTGAGATTCATAAGAGCAAATGATCGAATGACGGATTCCACATGGATTGTGCCAGACTTTGTCAGCGCCGATGGTGCAAAGAGACCTGGCAAAGGTAGATGGTTAAAAGCTAGTTCAGAAGTGGTTCAGATTGTCGCGAAGGAAGGTAAAGAATTTTAAACAAGTGGATTTTGTGAATGACTTTCAGAATTCTAATTATGTATATATAAAAAAAGGGAAGCACAAAGTAATAGATAATGTCGCATTCTGGAGACCAGATATGCACGATCATATTTGGAAAATGCTAGTAGAAAATACCACGGAAAGGTTACAAAGATTATTTACAATAGTGCCTAGTCGAAGATTTCCCGCGAGGAGAGATAGAGTGTTGTTAGACGTTCTTTCGGAAATTCCTTTTCCAAGGAATTTAGATCAATCATCCGTGAATACCGCTGAGTTAGATGATCTGGGGGATATATCAACGTCACTACGTTTTATAGGAAAAAATATTAATAAGGAGAATGAAGAAGGCGAGGAGAGTGAAACACAAAGATTTTACATAAATAATATAAAACCAATCGATGGGCTGCAATGCGTATTTGAACTCCAATTGCCTAAACATCAACCAAAGTCTCGTGGATCGTATGGGGGTTCCAACGGAGATATTAGTCCAACGTCAATGAGAGAGGTATCGCAAGAATCTTCAGAACCGTCCGAATATTTTCAGCAAGCTGATGAACCCGAAGAGTCGAAAATTCCGCCTCGACCATTTGGCGCGATATATCCCGTGACATACCGTGTGTTGAATGAAAATGATGAGTTCGTAAAATATCAAACACAATTTGTACCGTTCTACAATGTCTACAGCATTTGGGGCATGAAGGGCATCGCAAGGTTTAAGGGATTTATGAAAATTCCAAGTCACCAAAATCCGAGGTTGGGATTGGTAACTCATCAAAATACAAAACAACTGGCAGTTTGTTTGTGGAAATTGAGAGGGTTTGTTGTATGATTGTGACTCTTGGACACGAAGGAGACAAAATGACGAATAACATAATAATACACTATGTAATATGTCAGAACTTGCCTCCTTAATCCCTAAATGATAATCAGGAATATCTAAATTCCTTTCATAATTTTAATAATCAAAAAGTCCAGCATAAATTCATTACTTTGCAAAAATTTCTTTTGGTTGGAATAATAAAGTTCTTGGGAACCTAATTTTTGGCAAGTGCATGCGTAATGTAAATTTTTATTGTAAATGTCTCTCTTGCACAGATTGTTTCTTGTTTTTGTCTGTGTTAACGGATCCGATTATCTTCAATATATTTTGCGCGAAATGTATTTCAAATTGTCCAGCATTGTGAAAGTTTTGTGCATCGTAACAACAAACTGTTAATAATTATATCATGTCTTCTATAATAAATTATGGTATTCTTCCGTAATGCATTCACACATCAATCCTGTCACCGTCATTGCTACCGACACTGTCAACGCTATTTCTCCAATAGCCCCAAAAGTAGTAGAACAAGAAAAATATTCCTACGATACACATTATCAAATAACACATATATTGTTTATGTCTCATCGACGTCATATGCCTAAGCCGGGTAACGGTGCCTGTCAGAGAACCTCTCATGGCTGTAAAAGAGTCACTCTAAATTATCGAAGAAGAGAATGTATGAGAATCGTGTCATCAAATCTTTGCCAATGACAATATGGGCGTAATAGAATGTATATATATATGTATAACCGTATTATCGAGTAAATTCACTTGATCATTAGCCTCATTGTGGATGTCGAGTGTGATCTAAAGGAATAAAATGGATTATTTCAAAAACTAAAGAACAAAGATGACATGAGACATGCAAATTGTTTGAAGCATTCAAATCTCAATGATCCATCTAAAACGTTTTACCGCAAACTTGCCTTATGTAAAGCCGAAAGTTTGGAATTTAATTCTTGCAACCGAATGTCATTTTGTTGCTCGAAAATGCTGGAAGTAGCTGTATCGGAGTCGTGAACTACTTTCCTGCCAGATGAAGAGACATCCCCATTAGCACCACCTCCAGAAAGTAAGGTCGCCCTATCTGAATTCGATCGATGCATGTTCATAGTCTTTCTTTTTGATAGTGGTTTTTGATGTGTGTTACTAATATATTTATATATGTGTATTTATTTGGCAGGGTAGCACAGAATTCACTACACCGTAATCATGTGATGTGACAACTAAAAAATTTCACGCAGATTTTTTAATGAATGACGCGGAATCGGGTTAAGTTTATTGCGGACTTATGTTAAAAATTGCAAATTACTGATTATGAAACAGTCTCCCCGCAGGTCCAATTTGTGAGCCTTATTACTTTAGCATTGTATCGAAAATAACACAAGGCTAATTTTATTTTTTTTTTAATGTTGAACAAAAAAAGTTCGATCGATCAATAAACCATCCTTGCAAATAAAAATGTCAGTTTCATTTGCTGAAATTACATGATAATTATTACAAGTGAAATATGATAAATTATTATCACTCATTTATCTTCTCAGACTAGTTCGATGCCAATGCCAAAAGTATGAAATTCAAGTGTAAAAAGTGCTAATAAAGAAAGAATGAACGAATGAATTGAATTGAATTAAATCAAAGTTCGTGATCAAGAATGAATGTGTGGGTGGGTAGAATCAAAGGTACTGGTAGTAGAAGGTGGATTTGATTAAATCAACCGAGTTTCGAAGATCAGTAATTCCTTTACAGAAAACTCGGTAGAGAGAGCCTCTTCGGGTGCCTCCAATCCACGTTCCAAATCTAACCAAGCATCATTCAGATTCTTATAGCCATCCCTGAAGAGAAGGCTTCTCTCACATAACGCCTCGAAATTGAAGGGTTCCTCTGTCAGCACCTTGTTTATATCCTCCCTTGCTGTCTGATAACGTTTCTTGTCCCTATTTATTTTCGATCGAGTTATAAGTGCCTTCAGCCGACACCATGAATTTAAAAGATTTGTTCTTTCGTATTGTAACGCCTTGTTGAGATCAGACATGGAATCTTGCGTGCGCCCCATCTCGTAGTAGACAGCTCCACGAAATGTATGCACAAAACATTTGTTCCCCTTCAACGTCTCCGCTTCGTCGAGATCTTTTAGAGAATCTTGATATCTTCCAATTTTTAGGTAGACTTCTGCACGTATGCAAAGAGCGAAAAAATTATCCGGATTCTGCTCCAAGATGCTATCGAGATCTCTGATAGCTTCTTCGTACCTACAAATCTTAAATAAGACCTGAGATCGGTTCTCCAGTGCCTCGATATTTATCGGGGAGATTCTCAACACTTCGTTCCAATCTCTCAGCGACTCTTGATATCTTGTTTTTTTTTGGTAAATCTTCGCACGTTTAATTAATGGGACACAGTCGTTGGGATTTAATTGTACGGCCAAATCAAAATCTTCTAATGCCTCATCGAATCTGCATAAGCTTGTAAGCGACATCGCCCGGAGGCCTAATGCCCTACTATTATTCGCATCAATGTCCAATACCTTACTCAAATATTCAAGTGCCTTCTCAAATTTACCCATGTTTATGTAAGTTTCGGCACAATCGGAATATACGTTGATGTTGTGAGGATTGAGTTTGAGAGATTCTTTGAAATCACTGAGTGCTCTATCGAATTGATTCATCATTAATCGCACCAATCCACGATGCCTGAACGCCGACGTATCTGGATCGATAAAGATGGCTCGGTCCAAGTCTGTCAGTGCAACATCGTACCTTTGCAACCTGAGATTAATTTTTCCTCGATTTCTTAGCAGCCGCCCATCTTGCGGTTCAAATGTGATCGCCTTATTCAAATCTACCAGTGCGTCCTCGTAATTTTCGAGATGCCGATGGACCTTTGCCCGATTCAGAAGAGCTGTAACATTTTCCGGTTGAATTTCTAGGGATTTGTTTAGATCTATCAGAGATTCTTGGTAAAGTCCCTTTATTCTGTATACCTCTCCACGGCTTATCAGTGAAATTAGGTTGGTTGGGTTTGCGTTTAACGATTTATTCAGGCCTTCCAAAGCATCATCATATCTGCGAATAGATCAAAAGGTTAGCAATTCGATCAGTACACATTTTATCTAAAACTTGGAAGTTCATCAAAGATATTCGGGTCGATATATACTTTCTCAATGATGTGTAAATTTTATTGCGTAGTGACTCAGCTTCACTGTCTCTCGGATCGATCTGTAACGCTTGGTTTACGTCATCCAACGCTTCCTTGTATTTTTTTTTAAAAGTATAATATATTTTCGCTCGCCTTCGATATGTCGATGCCTTACCCTCTTCTAGTTTTATCGCCTCGTCATAATCGGCGAGCGCATCATCATAACGTGACAAGTTCTCGTGGACCTTGGCCCGATTCCTAAGGACCTTTGCAACGTCCGGAAAATCGATCTTTAGTAGTTCATTAAAATTCGACAATGCCTCTTGATGTCGTTTTTGATTCAGCAAAATCTTCCCACGTTTCATCAATAGATCTGGATCATTTCCTTTGCGCTCCAATGCGAGACCAAGTTCCGTCAGCGCCGTATTGTACATCTCGAGTTTTCTGTATAATGTCAGCCGTATTTCCAACGCCTCGGGATCATTAGGTTCAATTTCCAAGAGTAGACTAAAATCCTTTAACGCATCTTCATAATGTTTCAACCGGTTATTCAGGTTCCCGCGCGCCCTTAACGTTTCCTTGTCGAAGGGTGAATATCTCAAAACTTCATTGAGGTAAGGCAATGCCTCGACATACTCTTGTTCGACCAACATGATTTCGCCAAGCATTCGGTTTGCATTCAACAATAATCTCTGATCCGACGGTTGATCCGATCCTATCTTGAGTACATTCATCAGATCGGCCTTTGCGAGATCGTACCTGTTGATCTCAAAATACGTCTCCCCACGAAGCATAAAAGCTCGTAATTTTACGGGATTAAGATTAATGGCATCATTAAAATCAGCCAACGCATCTCTTATGTTTCCCAATTGTTTTGATGCGTATCCTCGGTCGCATCGCACGGAGTAACTATCAGGATATGTTTCTATTAGTTTTGTTAAGCACCTGATGGCCGCCGAGAAATCTCTTGATTCCAAGGCCCTGGACGCCTTGTGATTCTGAGGGTGCAGGAACTTTGTATGTTTGATGACGCCCAGGAACATGGAGTGTCGATTAGAATTAGTAGAGTGTAAAAGATCATTCTGTGGTGTATTGTACATTTTTGCAACGGAGAAAGATTATATATAGTGAGTGTCCTTTGATTTATACAAAAAAAAAAGAAGAAGAAAGATAGTTGATGCGGTAGATATGCGAAAGGCGGTTATCACACGTAAGTCATTTCTTGAGATTTGAAGTTTCTTTGGAAGTGTTATTTATTGACAACGAATTTCATAGCGATGCAGATCGTTCAGGAGAATTCTTAGAAACGGCCGACTCTTAAATCTTATCACACAGGCATAAAAATAGCACATACGCACAATTACAGTTTACGTGCAACGCACAAACTCATAGACGCACATGTCCTTGAATAGTACAGGAAATAATTTGGTTCTTTGTTACGTACGTGACTTAATGTAATGAAAATCCTTGTTTGTCGGATGAACAAGGATTCCTCTACCCTTTCTTGGAAGTTGATTGAGAACCTTCTTTTTATGCTGTAGAATGAAATAGTCTAAATTTTATTGTTGGACACAATTTTCGATAGGGTTTTTATTAAATTGCGTTCAAGAGAAATCACAAATGATCTCGGATAAACAAAAAAAAATAATAATAGACGATTGGATTAACGAGAATCTTGATGCAAAATACCTAATCTTCAATTGCTATTATGACTCTCTTTATGGAATTAATTTATTGTCTATAATCTTTTTCCTATTATTTATTCATTTTCACCTTCTTTGGAAAATATGCGGTTCTGCATGGAAAAGACGACTTTGTCCGATGTGCGCGTTGATCACATGCCGCAGGATCTTCTTGGCGAAAATAACTTAATAATGAATACCTTTCAACGTTCCGTTTCGAGACAAACAATGATTTATGAGCCGTTAGTAATTTTTTCAATGGATCGTCGTCACCCGGTTTTCATTGTTAAAAAACGATAAATGGTATTATTTTCGGACCCTGAAGTTAATGACTCCTGAGAAATCCGTGAGACCCCAAAACACTATCTACGTATGATAACCCAAAGATAAATATTTACACAAAACGTGAATATGTGATTCACAAATGCGACAACTCCAATTTGGTTTGGCGTACCTCGGAATCGGAATTACTTCCGATATTCCCTAAATCAAACGAAATAAAAAGGGGATCCTTCCCAAAGGTTGTATATTACTAATAAGCTACAGTCGGGTGAAACAAATATCAAACTTTATTTCTAAATATTGTAGCTAATTATGGTTGATATACTGTGCGCACACACTATTTTTCCCGTCCTCAATCCCAAAATAAGAATATAAAGTATATTAGAAACAGGAGATGTCTAAGAGAGAATGTATATATGAATCAGAACGATTGTAAAATGCCATTGAATTTCATTTACAGTATTCATTGTTTCGTGTATAAATGGAGAGAAAGAAAGTCCTAGATTATATATTATGTGCCATATAAAGCATTTCGCAATAATGAATGAAAAATTTTTTTATTTCAGGCTAGATTCTTATCGACCAACCGATAAGGATCTCGACGAGATGGAATTCGTAGATATGCGATATTTTTGAATCTCGAATGTTAAGAAATAACTAAAATTATTACTAATAAAGATCAAGCCTTTTGTTAGAACACCATCTATAGCTTCAAGCTAATGAGCTTATGCGACCATGTCATTAGATTAAAGATTCCGTTTATGTAATGACCAAAAGATCGATACATCGGAGAAATTGTAAATGTCTTAAAACTTTTAATGTCGGAAAATAGATTCATATAAAATTGCTTTTAAATTTCACAAAATTTTCGATTATGAAGGTAATTTTCACGAGTTTCGAGAAACTTTTCTGGTTAAATTCTTATGAAATGACGCCACTCGAAAGTTTCAAAGGCGTCTTCTTCTTTGAGTATATAAAGATATATTCTTCGATGTAAATCTAAACAAAACTTTAAGATCCCACTACAGTACACATAATTCTCTGTTCTCAAAATAAACTTCAAATTTCTCCCTGAATAAGGGAATTATATGAGTATGTTTTTTTACGGTTACAAACTTGAAATACTTGTAAACGGACTGCCACTCCCCGAATCGAATCAATTTACAACTAGCCTGAATGTTCCCGTAAGCATGCATGTTTTTGGCTGATCCTTTTCAATAACCACACAGGATATTTACTAAAAATTTTCACAATTGGAAAGACCACCACTGGTCCTTCTTACATTCTCGATGGGCCATCTAATAAATGGATCATAAGGTAAATCCCTGGTCCTTCCTTAGGATAACAGACAAGGCTCTAAATATTAAAAAATCACTTCAGTGATTCCTTTGTATGTGCCCAAGTTCCCTCGTCCGGTCTCTATTTTTCAGTTCGATTCTCCTCCGAGAAAGTCTCCCCGTATAGTCCACTAATGGCCTTCGTAGTGGTTGATGGTCATCTGGACTATCGTTACGTTCAAATGTACAACCCCGGTTC